CTAGGAAGAGTTCCCAGAAGAAGTATAGCATCTTCAGTGTGTTTTCTAAGAGTTTCCTCAGTCTGAAAGAGTGGACAAGATGACCCTTAGTTATTGAGACTGGAGGTAAAAAAAAAAAAAGGAATCTGCCCTTCTGCCCTGATTAGAGATGGCAGCCTGTAAGGAGGAGCAGAATATTATTAGGTGGGCTCTGGACATCCCAGAGGATTCTAGCTGCTTGCTTTGACCCTGATACAGAAAACAAGATAACCTAGATGTCAAGCAAAGCAAGAGAAAAGGACTGTAGAGCCCTAGATGGTCATGTAATTGCTTATTCTGTCCTTCCCAGTATGGAAGTTATAAGAGAGAAAGATTACTCACTATACTCCTGGCTTGGTCCTTGTTTTAGTCTTCTAGTGCTGTTCTAACAGAAATACCACAAGTGAATGGCTTTAACAAACAGGAGCTTATTCTCTTACAGTTTAAGAGACTACAAGTCCAAATTCAGAATGCTGGCTCTAGGAGCTGGGTGAAAGCCCCTCGAACTTAGGCTTCAGCTTTGCCTCTTGTTCTAGGCCCACTGGAACTGGAGATTTCTCCTAACTCATGCAGCTGCTGGCTGCTGTGGCTGATGCACCCAAGATCAGCAGGTAAAACGGCACAATCCCAAGATCAGCAGGCAACACGGCAGGCTACTGGTTCAAGTCCAGAAACTGGAGATGAAGGCCAAATACAGGATTCAAAATGTGCCAGAAAGCTAGAGACCTTTCCCAAAGTTTTTCCATACATACTGGAAGCAGGCCACACCTCTAAGGTAACTCCCTTTCAACTACTTCGCTGTTCACAGCAGATTCCACCATGGAGGTGACTACAATCTCATCATGGGGAACAATTACATCCAGCTGCTAAGTCACTCAAAACTATGGCCCAGCCAACTTGACACACAACCTTAAGTACTACAGTCCCCCACACTCCCAATGTATCCCAGGCAATGGTGACATATCCCTACCACTTTCCTGAACTGTACTGTAGGGTGGTTTGGTTTTTGACCTGGCAATCAGGAGACTTTTATTAGTATTCCAGCTTTGGCACAAATAATCTATGTTACTTGGGAGCTCTGGTAGCATAGTGGCTAAGGCACTTGACTGCTAACCAGAAGGCTGGCGGTTCAAACCCACCAGCCACTCCTCGGAAGGAAGATGGGGCAATCTAATTCCGTAGTGATACTGCCTCGGAAACCCAAGGAGGGGTCACTATGAGTCAGGTCCGACTTGACCGCACATAACAACAACACCACTTAGGGCAGGTGTTTATCCTCCCAAAGCTTTCTTTGAGATAGCTTCTCTTTCCATAGATTTCTGACTCCTAAAAATCAAATACTTCATTTCTGAATAATTTGTGAAGTAGTCAACAACTTAGATAAAGTACTTGAAAGTTATGCACACAACAGACTAGGGCAGAGTCTAGAAGGCTAGATAGATATGTGGGTGTGCCAGAAGTCCACAACTGAAGGCTCTTCAAAGGAACGCTCTCTAGATATTTGTTCAAAATTTCTTTAGTAGCTAGATAAGGCGCTCTGGTGGCGTAGTGCCTAAGGCATTTGACTCCTAATCAGAAGGTTGGCAGTTCAAACCCACCAGCCACTCCATGGAACGAAGATTGGGCAATCTACTTCTGTAAAGATTTATTGTCTTGGAAACCCAAGGGGGTCACTATGAGTTGGAATCGACTTGATGGCAGTGAGTTTGGTTTTTAATAGCTAGATAGTATTAGAGTCCCTGGGAAGTGCAAACAGTTAACACAGTTGACTACTAACCAAAAGGTTGGAGGTTCAAGCTCTCCCAGAGGTACCCTGGAAGAAAGGCCTGCTGACCTACTTCTGATAAATTAGCACCTGAAAACCGTATAGAACACAGTTCTACTCTGGCACAAGTGAGGCCACCATAAGTCAAAGTTGACATGAAGGCAGTTGATTTGGTTTTTAGTTACTCACACTTAATTTAACTAAAGATGAATATAGCCATAAAGTCTTTCAAATAATGTTTGAAATTTCTTTTCTGCTTGGCCAAACTATCATGTTTTCTGCAATTTCTGTTTTCTTTCTAGGCCCCCTCCCCAAGCCAGGCATTTTTTGGGGAGCCATACAAAAAAATTTTGTATTTAAGCAATAGAATAAAATGTTCATTTGCAGTAAATGAACACTATACCAGGCATTGTTCAGTTTCAGAAGGTTAGCTGAAGGAGACAGCCAGCTTCGGGAGACTTGTCAGCTGGCTGATCTCAGGGTTGGTGGCATCGCCTGTAATTATGTTGCAAAAATATCATCAGAGATAGGTTGGTGTCTGGGAAGCCTGTTTCTAAATGCCCATTGGAAGCAACTCTCTATTTCAGTAGACAGTTAACATTTTCCAGTAATGTAAGGTATCTCATGAGCAAAACTGAGATAACAGGGAACATGTTTTAGCAATGCTTTCATGCTCCGTTATAGAGACACATCCTGGCCAGCTGTTTCATTTGACTCTGGGCATGGTAGGAAGGCAACAGGGTGAGAGAGAGATCTGGGTGTGAATATATGACCTTGGGCAAGACAGTTAATCTCACTGAGCCTGTTTCTCTCTCTCTGTAAAATGGTGATTACCACCTATCTATCTGAAATAGGCATTAGAACAGACGAGGAAACTGAGGCTCCAAGAGGGTAAATCATTTGCTGCAGCTCACACAGATATAAGCAGAAGAGCGGGGATTTGAACCCAGGCCTGTCTGACTCAAAACCCTTTGCAGTTGAGTGTAAATTTTGTCAGGACTTACAGAGTTTAGTACAGGGAAGGCACATAGTTAAGTATTCACTTAAAATAAAAAATGGAAAAATAAAGCAAATAACCTGTTGCCATGGAGTTGATTTCAATTCATAGTGACTTTGTAGAATTGCCCTATACAGTTTCAAATGCTGTAAATCTTTACAGAAACAGACTGTCACATCTTTCTCCCATGAAACAGCTGGTGCATTAGAACCACTGACCTTTTGGTTAGCAACCTCTTTAAACCTTGCTCCTCCAGGGCTCCTGATTCACTAATAATAGGTCTTATGATTATTACTATATTGACCCAACCAGACTGTAAGCTCCTAGAAGGATGGAATCTTAACTCCTAGATGTTCACATCCCTACACAATGCCACAGCCAACATAAAGACAGTGCGGGGAGACCAGGATGTAACCTTCTTGAGATCAAGAAATCTGCATTTGGCTTCTTGTGTAGACCCCAAGGTGGCATGGATATGTCTCAGTAAGTGATTAATTTGTTTCTCTTATACAATCTCTGTATTTAAGAAACATTTCATTTCTTGTCACACTTTTGGCTCCTTTCCACTCCGAGTGAGAAGGTAGGACAGAAGAGGGGGCCCCAGACAAAAGTGGACACTGTTTTCTGATGAGACACACAGGAACCACCAACCACCTAAATAAATGTCCTCTTTATTTTACCAAATATAATTTATCAGTTAAGTTGACATTTGTCAATTCAGTTATAGTAACTATAAATAATTCTCTTAAGACACAGTTCTGTAACTTTTTAAGGATACATGAGTAAACCAACATCGCTCCTTGCGGCCAGGCCAAAAGTACATGCAGTTTGTGCAATCAGGGGGAAAGATACAAAATGTTCCATGAATGCCACTTTCTTTCCCTCTCACCCCACAATCCCCCTTCTGTTCACACACTCAGGGCCTGGGGCATCCCTATCTTTCTGCTTTTTAGGCAAAGAAGGATGCTCCAGAGTCTTCCAGGACAGCCTGGGCAAACTCCAGAGATGAGGAAGGGGTGAGTGACTGGGCCAAGGGGGACTGGAGATCACAGGGCACAGTCTCGGGGCAAAAGGAGTTGGTTTTGGTGCCTGTACAAGAAGAGTCTGTGTGCAAGTGTTTTGAGGTGGAGGACAAGATGAAAGAAGGCCTGAGGGAAGAACAGAAACAAGCCTAGGCTGGTGCTAATTAACTCTGTCTGACACAACTCCAACTAGATAACTTCTAAGATCCCTTCCAACTCTAAAGTTCTATGATTCCATGGGTGGCATGGGAGGAAATAGAGGGAGAGAAAAAACAGCCTCAGGAGGTATCAGGCAAGTGCCTTGGAGAAGGCTGGTATTGATAAGAGACAGGGTCATTGCCTAAGCCTTCCCTTGGAGGTGGGACCTTTAAGCTTCAGAAGGTATCCTTCTAACAGAAAGGCTAGAAAAAGCCTGCACCCAAATGCCCAGATTAGTACATATGTGAGCGTGGGCACATTTCCAATCTGTTCAGAGCAACATATGGAGAAGCTGCAGATCCAGTTTTCTCCCTGTCTTGTGTCAGGCAGAGAAAAGTAGACACAGCTGATTGATGTCCAGCCTACCAGTTCTGAATTCTCTTTTGGGTGCCTAATGAGGAGAAGTGGAGGTAAGGAAAGTGAACACTGGTTGAGAAATGAGGTCAGTGGCTCTAGCCGTGGTCAGAGTTGCACAGAGATGGGATCTAGGAAGGAGGAAGACGCAGAACCTGACTTGGTGATGTACACTCAAATACTTACAATGAGGAAACTTTTTCTGCAACTCATTGCCTTTTAAACTGGGGGGATGAGGTGACATTAGAGTTGCAGCTAGTCAGTGCCTAACACATAGTCGGCATTCAATAAATATTGCTCAATGAATGTTTCAGATCATGCCTTCAGAGGAGTTCATTTTGGAGGAGGCTGCATTATTTGTTGAATGGGTGAATGAATGAATGAATATTTGTGGGCAGAAGGCAAGGAAGAAGAAAACTGATCTCCATGACATAATAAAATGAGTGGTTTTAGGAAGTGAAGAGTCTAATGTGACCAAACAATTATGTACTTAGGAGAAACAGCAGCAATTAATCACCCCCTGGTTGCCCTCAACCTCCCCATCATACTCCATGTCTCCATACTTAGTCCCTGATTTTGGAATTCAGCCTGGCAAGCTCTGGGGAAGGTAATGCTTAGAGGCATTTAGAGATGAAGATGACAAAGAAGACTGTGGATCTTGGCAACCCATGGGTGGACACGGGTCAAAAGGGGAGACCAGACCACTGCTCATTTCCTCCTGCATGTGGCAATCAATTAGACAAAGATCAGAGGAAGTGTTGTTGGTGGTTATCAGGCAATCGGGTAAGATGCATACCCACACTTTGAATAGTCAGTCCACCACACTCTTTCTGGGCACAGGAGGCCTAAGTTCATAGGGCAGATAACAGGGCTAGGTTTATATGTGGCCGGAAGCAGTTGTCTCCTATCCAGTGCTTTGAGGTTGGTCCACTTCTAGAAGGGTATGCTTTGGGGGCAGTGATATTCTTCTGTCTGTTCAACCAAAAAAACAACAACAAAAAAAAAGAAAGATGAAACTAAAAACCAGAGCCCACTCACAAAAGATTTCTCATTAGGGTCAAGACTGAGGTTGCTAAAGCTAAACCAAATGTCCCCAGATCCCAGACAGAACACCCCTAGCCAATCCACCTGGAGGCACCCACCATGAAATTGCACTTGGTGATTGTCTCTAAAATCTACTTGCACTGTTTATCTCAGTCCATCTGTCCTTCCTGAATTCTTGCTATACAAACTTGGCTCAATGTATAAAAATTCCCATTGAAAATAATGAGAATTCAGTATCAAAGTGAAGTCCTAGAAAGAGGTGGGAGTGTGGAGTTGGGGAGGGGAATGGGAACAAAAGAACAATTTAAAATAGAAAGTGCAGAGGGGTGGGAGAAGATTGAGTGACCAAACTAGTCCCCAACATCCGTGTCTCGGTCCCCAATGAGCCAGAGAATATGGAAGCTGAGTGCTAGGAGCCCAGTGCCAAGCAGGTCCCCCAGAGCTGTCAAGTACGGGATGGAGAAGTTGTCTGGGTCCAGGCCCCGGGCCCACATCCAGTGCACCATCCAGTCTGCGATATAAAGAAGAATCAGCACCTGCAGAGATAAAAAGGCCCAGCCTTTAGCCAACCCCTCTCTCCAGGGGGAGCCAGAGGCCATGTGATCATACCCATTCATTACATCACAAGGTTTGGCTATCCACAATCCTTAGTCTGGGAGAGCTCATTTTTCTCCCTCAGCTCCTTGCTATCTTCCTCTATCCCACAATTAACAACTGAAGCAGACAGCATGTAAAATAACAGCTCTTTAAAAGGAAGATGCTGGTACTGCCTGGGGACACCCACATCGGTGTTATGTTTTGCTCCAAAATTTACCAAGATAGCCCACTGTCACAGAGTAGATTCCGACTCACGGTGACCCCATGTGCTACCGAGCAGAATTGCTATTCCACTGGGTTTTCTTGGCTGTAATCTTTCGGGAAGCAGATTATCAGGGCTTTCTCCCTCAGTGCCTCTGGGTGTGTTCAAACCACCAACCTTTAGGTCAGCAGCTGGGCGCTTAACCATTTGCACCCACCACTCAGGGACCAAACAAGGGCTTCCTAAACTAAATCCTACTCATTGTAAGACCTCAGCCCTCTTGCCTCTAATTCTGGGTCAACCCATTTCTGGGTCACTCCGATTCCTGCCATGTTGTCCTCTCCAGGAGCCTGGCTAGGGATTGAGCATTGGAGTTAGTTTCCATCTGGGATTTCTTTTCTGAGCAGACTGGAATAAGGACAGTGTTTGAGGTGGGTGTCAGCACAGTGTCTGAGGAACTGGTTTCCTCCTGTCCCTTCCCACTCTGTTGTTGTGGGCTCAAAGAATGCAATCTTTTTTTTTTTTTTTTTT